CTGTTGCTGGATTTTCTTAACTGATCACGATAGGGCTTCGGTCAGAAAGCAGGCTGGTCATCAGGGTGTTTAAATGGTTTACTGAAGAATTACTGACAGGACGGTGCAAATAAATTGAAGCAGTTTCTGAAAATACAATAATAATACAGATTCAAATTACTATTTAAAAATTAACATCTCTGAGCAAACAAACCCTAAATATCAGCATTTATTCCCTTTCTAAAGCACTGTTTAAATTTGAATGATGCAGAACAGCACCTGGAATCAATCTATTTCCAACTGCCCAAATCTCAAGACCGACAGCCAAATACAAAGACAGTTTCAACACTAAATTCCAAACATTAAGAGCAAAACAGACATTCAAAAGCTATAGAAACACACTTGCGACCAAGAAGCGCTGTCAGAAGTGACAACCAACATCCACCCATTCATGACACATGACTAACACCACAACTTACATCCTCAGTGACTGCGGCACCAGTCTCAACAGTAAACAGCAAACAGATCGACTGAACGTCAAGAAGAAGAAATAAACGGAACAAACCTCCTTCCAATAAAGGGAACCACTTCAAAATAAAAGCATAGACATGAGTCATTGAAGTACTTGAAGAATTAATAACAGCCGCCCCCACATTTACTTGTAAATGTGTCAACCTAGAGATTCTTCAAGTCTCTTTCATGTCATCTTTAAGTACAGGAAGCTCGATGAGTCGAGCAACTGGTCTCATGTAGACTTTGTCTTTGACTTTGACTTCTACTGTTCTGACGCATCCATCTGGACTAGTAACAGTCTTAACAATTCTCCCGATGGGCCATTGAGCTTTTGGAAGTGAGGGATCAATGATTAGCACAACAGAGCCCACAGTGATGTTCTTTGATGATGTTTGCCACTTCTGACGGGTCTGGAGGTTCGGCAAGTAGTTCTTTGTGAATTGGAGCCAAAACTGATCAACTAGTGCCTGACACTGTCGCCATCTACGTCGCCCTATACTTGCTGGAGCATAGGTCACTTGAGGCAGAGCGGCATCATGCCGCCCCATAAGGAGGATGTTTGGAGTGATGGGGTCCAAATCGGCTACATCAGCTGACACATACCCTAGTGGCTTTGAATTTAAGATTCCCTCTACTTCCACCAGAATCGTGTAGAGAACATCTTCTGAAACTGATTGATTGCCAATTGCAACTTGGAGGCCAGATTTAATCGAGCGTATTTCCCGTTCCCATGCTCCACCGAAGTGGGGAGAACTCGGTGGGTTGAATTTAAAGCCAATCTGGTATTCTGTCAGTTGATCTTTCAGTTGTGGTTCCATGGCTGCAAATGCCTCCCTCAGTTCTCTTTCGGCACCTCGGAAGTTAGTGCCACAGTCTGATGACACCTCCTTTGGTCAACCTCGTCTGGAAACAAATCAACGAAGAGCAAGGAGGAATGCATCCACATTCATAGAGTTCAAGAGCTCTAAGTGCACCGCTCGGGTTGTGAGACATTTGAAAATAACACCCCAGCGCTTCTCTGTCCGTCTACCTATCTTCACCAGGAAAGGTCCAAAGCAGTCCACGCCAGTCGAATAGAAGGGTGGACAGAGAAGCCTGAGACGTTGTGGAGGCAGATCTGCCATCTGCGGCACCTTTGGTTGAGCTCTCCAGCGTTGACAGGTGGGGCAGTTGAGTTGGTGGTGTCGGATTGCCTGTCGTCCCCGCAAGATCCAGTAATGTCTCCTTAATTCAGCATAGACTCGTTCCGTGCCTGGATGTTTTAAGTGTTCATCCATGTCTTTAATGAGAAGTTTTACTGCTGGGTGCCTTGGGTCGAGCACAATTGGGTGGATCTCTATAATGTTTGGGTTCTCCAATCTGCGTAGCCTTCCGCCCACACGGATGAGACCTATTGCTGCATCCCACTCTGGAGCAAGGCTGAGCAGATTACTGTTACTTGGTAAAGGTTTCTGTGCTTTAAGAGCAGTTACTTCTCTTGGGAAGCTATGTGCTTGGCATCCTCTCAGCAATAAGACTTCTGCATCTCGGGGGCTAATAATGTGTTTATCGACTGGTTCTGTTGCCGCCCCATGATCTTGTTGTATGGCTCCCACTAGTTCTTTCCATGAGTTGTATTGGGTAGCATCAGGGATGATGTTGTTGGGCTCTACGGCTGTGAAACAGCAGAATGTGATACTCTTCAATTCAGATGAGCCCACTATTCCTGTTTGCTCTGGTTTCTTTGGCCAATTTTCAGCACTTTGTCTAAGAAATGAAGGTCCTTTGCTCCAGCGATCAGTTTCTGCTAGTTCAAGTAGTGGTTTACCTCTTGTTATATCATCTGCAGGATTGTTTGGGCTGTCAACGTACCGCCAAGCTTGACGCTCAGTTAGTTCTTGTATTTCTGACACACGTGTTCCGACAAACACCTTATAACGGCAGGACTCTGACTGAATCCACTCCAATACTGTGGTGGAGTCAGACCAAAGAACTGTTTGTCGGATGGGGAGCGTCATCTCAGTTTGTAAGAGTTTGGACAATTGCGCTCCAGCTAGTGCTGCGCAGAGTTCTAGGCGGGGTATGGACTGTTGCCGTTTCGGAGAAACCCTGGACCTGGCCATCACAAAGGATGTGTGGATGGTGTCTCCTGCATCAAATGTCAGGTAAGCTACTGCTCCATATGCTCGCTCTGAGGCATCACAAAATATGTGAAGGTCACACTTTGCATCTGTACCTTTATCAGAGAGTGGTAAATAACAGCGAGGGATGGATACACTGTTGAGATGTTTTAGCTCGCTCTCCCAGGTTTCCCATTCTTCTCGGAGGGTAGGAGGTAGGTCGGGGTCATCCCAACCCCTTTGCTTGGACCAGAGTTGCTGGATTATCACTTTGGCGCGGGTTGTGAAAGGCACCATAAACCCCAGAGGATCATATTGACTGGCTAACACTTGGTAGGCTTTCCTCATTGTCAGTGTAGAATGTTCAATGATTCGATATTGATAGCCAAGGGTGTCAGCAGCACAGTTCCATCTCAGACCTAAGGTGGGTTCAAGTGGGTCTGTACGGTTCTGGCTTAACCACTGTTCTGTAGCTGAAGATCTGGCGTCAGCAGGTAGATGGGCTACTACTGCTGGTTGATTGCTGGCCCACTGTCTGAGGTCGAATCCCCCTTCTGCTAATACAGTGCGCAATTGATCAACTCTTTCTCTAGCTGTAGAGATGGTGGGAAAACTCTCAAGGCAGTTATCAACATAGAAGCTCTGCTGCACCGACTGCAGTACTTCCGGTTGGTTATCTTGGTGATTACGAGCATGTTGTTGTAGGGCGAAGATGGCACAACATGGGCTACTTGTTGTGCCAAATGGTAGTACTTGCCATTCGTACACTTCTGGTGGATCTTCGCAGTGCAGATCTCTCCAGATGAACCGAAGGAGTGATCTGTCCTCTGGCAGGAGATGGATTTGATGAAACATTGCACGAATGTCACCGCTCACTGCAATCTGATGCTGCCTGAATCGGATAAGGACTCCCACTAATGATGGACCCAGTTTCGGCCCAGGTAAGAGCTGGTCATTTAGAGAGATATTTTGGTGGCGAAATGAACAGTTGAAGACTAGGCGTGGTTTATTGTTGTGGAGCACCAGATGATGGGGGAGGTACCAAGCTTCTGCAGACTGTTCCACCTCCATCGGTTGAAGTCTTTTGACATACCCTGCATTTATGAGCTTGTTTATCTCTGTTAAGTAGATTGTTGCTCTCTCTGGTTCTTTCTTCAGTCGCTTCTCTGTGGCTCTCAGATGAGCAATCACTGAGTGTATAGAACTGCTGAGTGTAGGTGCACCAGGTTTCCTCAGGAGGGGTGTTGCATAACGGCATATTCCTTCAATTTTGAGTCTCTGTGTTTTTGTTTCCAGAAGATTCATGGCCTCTTGGTCCTCTCGTGAGCGGACGACTATTTTTTCATTTCGGAAAGGTAGGACATCAAGTTGCCATAACCTTTCGACGTTTCGATATAGAAGGTCTTCTGGGCTGACGAATGAGGTGAACAAGCATTGTTGCACTAATGCTTGGTCTGACACACCCTTTTCTGCTCCTTGGAGGGCCCATCCAAGGGTAGTGTGAATGGCTATGGGACCTCCTTTAGATCCTTTGCGGATTGGTTCTATAGGAGTAATGAGGTGCACATGATCTGAGCCAAGTAACACTAATGGCTGTACGTTGTTGAATGACTTCAGGGGTATTCCCCGCAGGTGGGAATATCGTTTTTGAAGTGTCTGTATGGGGTAGGTTTGTTCCACCAGGTCCAGACCCGCTGCTGTAAAGGCTCCCTGTACTTTAAACCGCTTCTGTGGGTTGTCTTTGGAGGAGATCTCAAAGCTAACCTTTGACCCTTGGAGGTGTGTGACATCTGTCCGCACTGTGCGTAGGGCGAGGGTTTCCAATGCACCATTTAGCCTGAGCTGCTGGACAGCTGTTGGTAAGATCATAGTCCGTTGTGCTCCATCATCTAATACAGCAAAGGTTTCTACTGAATTAGATTTGTTATGCAGCAGAACTGGAACCACTTTCAGGAGCACTTTGCTAGAGTTTGTGCTGGGTGTCAAATAAACTCGGCTCTCTGAGGGTTTAGGTTGTCGATGAGAGGAGCTATGCTGAGCGATGCCATGGAGCACTTGGAGATGGATGTCACCACAGTCGCTGCAAGGTTTCTTGAGGTTGCAAGACTCAGGTGTGTGAGCACGTGCACATTTCCAGCAGCGTTTGCCTTCTGTTATCCACTTGTCCAACTCTGCTGTTGATTGCACTTTAATGGTGGGACAGCGACTGATGTAATGTTCTGTGCTGTCACAGAAGAGGCAGTGTACTTTATAGGGTTTCTTAACACTAGATGATGCGGGTTTGTTACAGCTGTTTGGCTGAATGGGATCCGCTCCATGATACACAGCTACACTTTGTCCTTTGCCCTTATAAGGGATTTTTTCTTTGCCATTGTTAGCAGGTTTCTCCAGTTGATAGCGTTGTACTAGTCTGTTTGACAGACGCTGCTGCTGCGCTTTACCTTGGAGCCAACCATTTAGGTCTTGTAGGTTATAGGGGTTAAGACTCTTGGTGTTGAGCTTTCCATGCAGCTGGAGATATTCAATGAACCCATCTCTATAATATCTGGGTAGTTTACTGAGTAAGTGATCAACATGGGAGCAACAGTTGAGTTCCATCCCCTGAGGTCCCTCTAGGGAGAGCAGCATACTGACAAGGAGATGAACTCTGAGAGCAAAGCTCTGAAATGCTTGTGCATCTCCTGACTTCACAGCAGGTGCAGTTACAATAGCTGCTATTTCGGCTTGCGCTAACTGGTGGGGCTGACCATACTGAAGCTGTAGTGCATGCATGGTTGCTGAATATGGGAATGGATCATGTCTGCATGACTGGCCGATCATTTGAGCCTCTGGGAGTTTGAGGTGTTCGAGTAGCACATGGTATTTATATTTTTCGCTCAAATCTGGATAGGGTTCCAGCAGGTTATCCAATGCTAGTTTTAAGTTAGCAAACTCCCTTTCATTATCAGTTATGAAATCAGGGATTTTGGGTGTGGGTACGCCATATATAGGGCGTGGTTGCAGACTAAAGTTGTGCGGAGCTGTGCTCTGATTTGCTGGGAACTGTGCCTGAAAGGTTGGGGAAATTTCAGTCAACATCGGGGCAAAGGGCAATACCTGTGGTGGCATTGCAGATGATGGCATGGGTGTATATTGGGGTTGTCCATGAATTGCAGGAGACTGAGGTGGAGGATAGTTCATCATTGCTTGTGGCCTGGGATATGGGGCTGTTGGCAGGTAATGAAGGGCTGTGGTTGTTAACAGCTGCTGTTGGTGTCTGGAGCTGGTTTCATCTTTGCTACAATATAGCCTTGTTACATGGGTTTGAAGGGGAGTTGGCCTTATGGGCTGTTGTAAATTTGAGATTGGCGTCAATTGACCAGTTGAGATGCTGGGATGAGAGGAGCTTGTGTGCTTTGGAGAGGTTGAACGTATTGGGATGAATGCAGAGTTTGCTCCCTCTCTTACGACTCCAGGATTGTAATTTCTCGGCTCAGCTTTTCCTTCTGGTGTGAAGTTCATATTTGTAGTTATGTCTCTCTCAGTGTATGCCTCCATGTGGTGAACCTGCCTTTCTGCCGGAGTTGAGGGCCATGGAGAGTGGACACAGGTGAGGGTGTTGAGTGAGGATTGTGCTCGTACTTGAGTGGGTGTGGCACCTTCAGTTTTGTGAGTCTCCTCATTCTCTTCTTCCTCCTGTAGGAATGATGTGATGTGTTCCAGTAGATCTTGGCGACGACGTTGTCGATGTTCATACTGACATAGTTTTTGAGTGATTTCAGCCATTTCCACCTTTTCTTCCTCCTCAGTCCTGGAAATGGATTCAACGAGTTGTCTGAGTGACGTGGTGCTCAGTAGGTCGCCAGGGGTAGAGCTACGTGAGGCTCTGCTTGGTCCAAGATGAAAGGTTCCATCCGCTTGTCCACTGCCTGCTGTGGCCGCTGCTCTTATCTGCTCCTTGTGCTCTTTGTGGTCGAGGTGGGAGGACAGAGCAGGCCTAGGAGGGTTGTAGGCAAGGATGTACTCCTCTAGATGCTTGGGTGTACGGTGCTGCCTTGTATGTAACTCTCGTACATCAGTATGAGGGTGGGTTGTTGTGTTTTCCTCTGATGACATTCTATCGCAGTCAATTATCCGGCTCGAAGGACCATTTGTTGAGGATTTGACCTCTGTTGCTGGATTTTCTTAACTGATCACGATAGGGCTTCGGTCAGAAAGCAGGCTGGTCATCAGGGTGTTTAAATGGTTTACTGAAGAATTACTGACAGGACGGTGCAAATAAATTGAAGCAGTTTCTGAAAATACAATAATAATACAGATTCAAATTACTATTTAAAAATTAACATCAGTGAGCAAACAAACCTTAAATATCAGCATTAATTCCCTTTCTAGAGCACTGTTTAAATTTGAATGATGCAGAACAACACCTGGAATCAGTCTATTTCCAACTGCCCAAATCTCAAGACCAACAGCCAAATACAAAGATAGTTTCAACACTAAATTCCAACCATTAAGAGACAGACATTCAAAAACTATAGAACACACTTGTAACTAAATAAGTGCTGTCAGAAGTGACAACCAACATCCACCTATTCATGACACATGACTAACACCACAACTTACATCCTCAGTGACTGCGGCACCAGTCTCAACAGTAAACAGCAAACAGATCGACTGAACGTCAAGAAGAAGAAATAAACGGAACAAACCTCCTTCCAATAAAGGGAACCACTTCAAAATAAAAGCATAGACATGAGTCATTGAAGTACTTGAAGAATTAATAACACTACGGTTTCCTATTCTTATTTATTTTTACCTTTTCTTGAATATCTGATTCTT